AGTCGTCGCGGACCCCCTTTCGAACGAGTCTCGACGGTAGGCCCCGAAAATAGGAGGAGCACGACGGGGCATATGCTTTTTTTCGCACAATATGTCGTATTTTTACGGGCGAGCATGGGAGCGAATCCGGTCACAGATGTGACGAAAGGAGAGAAAGAGGGCCGCCGATACGATCTGCGAAACAAAGGGCAGCACCACCGCCATCAGGTACGTGCCCCCTGCCCCTTCCAATGACTCCAGTTCGCCCCTCCAGGCCAGGAGCATAATAAAGTCGTGGCACATATCGAGCCACGCGAAAACGCATTGTGCCGACGTGTCTCTTCCACGGAAATTCCAGCCGAGCGTTATTATGAACGGGTACAGTGTCTAACGTGCTCGAAAGCCTCGATGGGTCAGATAGCAAGGGTTGAAACCCTCCGTGTGTCCCCCCGCTCTCCCCGTTCTCGCTGTTCCGACGCTCAACCGACCGCCGCCATCTTTGATTCGCCGTGGAGATAGGCTCGAACAGCTGGGAAGTTTTTGGTGCTTCGTTTTTTCCTTCGCTCCGGGTTGTTTCTCGTTTCGGTCGTAATTCACCGGTGTTCCACCCTTCTGGTTTCGCCGGGTTCTCTCCGCGAGTTAAACGCGACGAATCGTGCCCGCGAAAAGTCCCGGACTACCAATAATTATCGGCGTCGTTTCTCGCTCGTCGTTGCGGACGACGCGACCCCGAGGAATCGAGTTTCTTCGGTTCGCGAACCTCCGAGATTCGCGTCAGATTCGCCGAGCGAATCCTCGAGGACGTCGGCTCGAAGAGAGAGGGTGAAACGGGCAAGAAGAGGAGGAGAAGGAGGAGCAGAAAGAGGTGGAGAAGGAGGAGGTTAACCTTCTGCGTGGAATCGCTCGTTAACGGCTGTCCTACACGCTCTCCCTTTTCTTTTCTCGTCCTGGCGATGCTTATCGCGCGCCACGCCATGCCACGCCATGCCACGCCATGCCAAGCCGTGCAACGATCGTCGAGTTACGGTCCTGCGGCCGTTCCTGGACATTCCAGTGGCAACAGAAGCGCCAGCGACGATTCACCGAGGACCCCGTTAATCCCTACGAAGAATTTTTCGAACGAGCCCGAGTACCCCGCGTCTCCCTTTGAGCCCCTCGCATTTTTCTTACCGAAATGAATTTTCTCGAGAATACTCGCTCGAGCGAACGAATCGTTCTCTCGAACAGAACGAAATCGTTGAAAATAATTGGAACGGTGTCCTAGAGTCGACCAGAGAGATCGCGTTCGCGTTCGATTAAGAAAATGTCGTTCGCCTTCGCGAGCACAATGCGCGCGCGGTGTCGAGGATCCCAGATAAGTATCTCGGGAGCATTGTGTCTACGTATGATCCGCGGGACGCGTCGGAGCCGGGTGTCGTTGCCCTCGAATTCGTCTTTCAGGCCACTCTTTTGCGTCGCCTAAAAAAATAAAGTTCCCTACTCTTTCGTTCCGCTTGTACGTCGCTTCCGTTCCGACTTAAACTTTCCCCGTTTAATTAAAACTATCGCGATATTCTCCTTACGAAAATCTACGAAAATCTTACGGTCTAAAGTCTAGATAGGGTTAACGACGAAACACCGAGGGTGGGTCGAGAAAAGAAAAGAGGAAAAAAAAAAGAGAGGCTCCGGTGGATTTAGCGAGATCGGCACGGTGGTTTACGAGCAGCACACGCAGCCGTGGTCGGGGGCAGAAACGGCGACTGAATTATGTACCAGATGCAAATGTCGTCGTATTGTCCGGTGCCGGCGGCGTGCTCCATCCATCTTTCAGCTTCCTTGAAAATTCCGCTCATGAGAGACGAGATTTGCATCCGTTCACACTTTGAATACGTCGCTGTCCACGCCGAGATCGTCTCGCTCTCCGTTCGCGAATCTAGCCCCGGTATCTTAATCTTTGCTTTTTCGTTATTCCTTTCGACGCGCGAATCATTTTCCCGCCTTTTTCCTCCTTACGGTTTTAGAAAAGTAGTTTCTTTCGCGTGTCCGCGAACCGACGAGAGATCCAATAAGTCGTTCGCGAGTTTCGTTTTGTCCGGTCGACGAACGGCCGCGATTTATTTCGCGAATTTATGCGCGACCAGGATTGCGTACCTCT